ATAAGAAACATCAAGGCACAAAGGTCTGCTATTCCTCACTGACTGGGGGAAAAGTCCAAAACTACCAGCAGGGATGCCAGTCCTCTCTGCAAAGCTAGAACCAGCAGCTACCAACATCAGCTAAGATTAGTGTGGGAGATGATTGTTTTGTAACTGTATGATGAAGTTGCAGGGAATAATATTAAGAAGATGCAAGAATTGAAAGGTACCCTGCAGTATTTATTGGGCTGCAGTATTTATGCTACAGTTTCATGAAAGAGGAGGTAGAGAAGCAGAAAAGTCATCCTCAAGGTAATAATGCTTTAGGCAGGTGGTATCTAGCAGGGTTTCTCCTAAAAAAAAAGACCCAATTCATTAGGCTAAAGTCGGTAGCTACCTCACATCAGTGCCACTGGACTCAGGCTCTGCAGAGCACAAGTCACACAAGAAGGTTTCTTGTAAGCACAGCCCCCATGTGACAGGCTAACCCAGCTTTGTCACAAGTCATCATTCACTTAAGGTGCAGACCCTGTACTTTTCAGGTCATGTTTTTGTGATCTCTGTAGACCAGTCCTATTCTTCAAAAGTAAAATAGTGGCACTAGAAGGACATTATAACACAACAAAAACAGAGGGAGACACTGTAGGATGTGGAGGAATACCCCAGTAACACAGCCTCTGAAGAGCTAACACAGTCATCAGCAAGGGAGAAAAAATGAAGCATGAGGAGTCTTTATTATTTAAGTAGCCTCTCCATAGGTACTCGTGTTCAGGTGGAAGCAGTAACTGCAGGGGGATACAATTTATATAAACTGCTGCAAAGTAGATATTTTTTTGTGACAGTAGTTTCTACATGTGAAGTTTGACTTTCACATCATCTGTTTTCTTAAGGTAAAGAGAAGCAGAGCAGGAAGGTACAGGATGAAAAGTGTGGGCTGCACACAGCATAACAGGGACCACAGGGAGAGAGAAAGCCCAAAGCAGTGCCTCTCTTAGGACTGTCTTTTCTTCCTGCATTAAAGAGAGATGTGGCCAAAAACTTCAGGAATGATGAGAGAGGATAAGAAAGGTCCCTTACAGGTGCAGTAGAAATACTCAACTACTGTACTACCAAACTCCTGCTTAAATTCCAAATAGCAAAATGCATTTTATTTTTAAAGCTATATTCAAGTATCACCACAATAGGCTTGCATGGTTAGAGAGAGAGCTTTTTCCTCTATAATGCTGATAAACTATAGGAGGCCTGAAGGACAAAGGCAATAAGGAATACTAGTGTTTTTTGCTATTTAGAATTCAGCTGGTTTAACACCAAAATAAAGCACATTCTACTTTCAAGGGGTTTTGACAGCAAGCAGTATTATTTAAGCAGGTTAGTCAAATTCAGGAAGAACAGGGCATTTAATTAGGATTTAATATGTTTTTTCAGCTCAATTATACATAGGTTTTCTTTGGATTCTTTTTATTAGAGTTTGTTCCAAAACCTGCTTTATAAAGAATCATTTGTGATGTGTGAGAGATGATTCTGTTTACTCACTAAACAGAGTTATATTTAGGTGATTCATATGTGCACTTTATATTCAAGGAGTAAGGTATTACTTCCATTCTGTGTATAAACCCTTACAGAACAGTAGACTGATAATGTAGATAATGATAGAATATAATAGACTGTACAAGACTTTATATTTTTAA